GATTAGTCTCTAATCCTGACCTTAAAGCACGGCCTGGCCACGATCCCAAATCTCACCGAGCTCCATGTCAGAGCCTTTGGGTGCACCGAGCACTGATGGAGGCTCACGAGAGCAGTCGTGTCTCAGTGATCTGGTAGTGAAGGTTGTTCATCACGTGCAGTGAATCCTTCATGCAGTCCTAATAAAAAGCAGTGGAGACGCCTTTGAACACCGGTAGGAAAACACCTGGAAGCCAAGAGCAGTGAGAACAAAGACTTGCTGAGCAAAAGCAATGGATTTCTTTTTGGAATGATTGGCGGTGCATTACCTCTGTTGCTGAATCCTCCCTGGTCTTTGTTAATCTTGAAGAAATTGGGACTGAGATACAGAGTTCAAAGAAAGAACGCTCATCCATTAGCGACTTATTCAAGCAATCTGTGGTTTAATACCTTCAGTAAAAGTATTCCCAGAAGGCTTAATTAGCTGTCCTGCAAATGCATAATCCCTCTTCGTTTGGTTATAACTTCCTTTTTCAGCAAGCTGGTGTTTCTTTGCCTTGAGATTGCTTCCCATGAGACCTGTTCTCCCCCTCTTACTGATTTCAGTCAGTTCCATGCATATGCTGTGGTGTGCAAATCAGGCCTTGCATTCTGCATCTCAAAGGCTGCTTTTTCTGCCTGCTCTGAAGAAGCAATCCGGGCAACCAATCTACGGCTACCGCTGTTGCCAGCAGACTGCCATCACTGAACTCTGCACGACAAGGGGTAGAGCTGCCAGAACCTGGACTTGTTCAGAAAATGAAAGCTTGAAGGCAGCCCTGTAACAGCTATCAGTGCTGCCACAGTGAAATCTGTGACAGCCAGCAACCCCACCACTTCTGCGCTGCTCATCTTCCAAGGCCCAGTTGGAGTATCCCTGGAAGTGGAAAGCGAAGAAAGTATTTTGTTTTTCTAGTCAAGCTTCCCAGTTACATTTCTGTGATGTTGCCCAAAGACGTGGGCAACACCTTAGTATTCATGAAACCTGACAAACGTAAAGGCTTTGATAGCATCATCCTAAAACATAGCAGCACTTGGCCTCAGCTTGTTACAGCTGGTTGGTATGTCTGTATCAATGTGTAGTCCTCTGGCAGAACACTAATATGCCAACATGAACCTGTAACGAGGAGCAATGACCCAGAAAGAGCCCTCTAAGCAGATATGGTTGTTATGCATAATGTGCAAGTTGTCAGAAAGGATATTGTGCTGAGTTACCACTTGTGAAGGATCACATCCAGAAAACTTACCTGGCTTCAGCACAGAATAAAGTGCCTCTGAGCAAACAATTGTCCTGATGGCCTTTAATGAAGTCATCTTCCAGAGCTGGACGGGGCATCAGAGACCAGAGACATAATGCATGGCTGGCAGAACAGCGCTCCTGAAGCAGTCGAGAGCCAGCAGCGTGTTGCCAGCAGTCCATTGTGCTGAGCCAGCCAGTTCTCTGCGGAGAACAGACCTGCAAATTGCATCTGCTGACCGGCCATGCCCAGAAAGGTCGGCTTCGGCTCCCCTGTGTCACTGCTGCAGGAACACGCTGGCCCTGGGAGCCTGGGCACACAGCCGATTTCTTGCATGAGGCTACAGCAAGCCCTTTCCCCAGGCTCTGCAGACCCTGAGAGAAGAAACTGAGCCACAGAGGCCTGCTATGGTCTTGTCTGGGACCTGCGTGCCTGGTAGCAAGGCCCATGCAGGTGAAAACCGATAGAAGCAGCTCCTGAAAGAGGGGTGGCAGTAACACCAGAGCACAACTGGACAATAATGGCCCACTGTGCCATTTCTGGAGTTTGCTAAATCCTCTGGAAGGATATGCCCCCCTCTCACAACCCCTCTTTACTTGCAGCCTAAACTCAAAAACTCTCAAGGCAGGTTGCAGCGTTTTTGGGGCAGGTCTCCACTGTCTGATCTCACATCCTGAATGTCCTGGTTACGCCATGGCATAGAAGTTCTCTCACAACAGACCGTACAGAGCCTTGTGGGGAAGATCTCGTTACTGTACAAGCAGAAGATGAAGGGCTGCCCAGGAAGATGTAGTGCAGACGATGTCTGGAGACAGAAGCATCAAACCCTCAGTGCTGCAGTTGTCATTCATCCTGTACCGAGGTTAATTCATGTGTGGACGCAGATTTGGGGTTGTTTTGCAAACTACATGGAAGGTGACTCTTCAGGCAGTAACCCTGTGCAGCTAATTGCAAGGCCCAGGGCTTTGTCTCGGTTCGTTACTCGCCGTGGGCCATAACCACGTCCTCACTCTGCAGACTGACCTGAGGCCTGCTGGGCCACCAGCGTCCCCGACCAGCTCTATCGGTCCAACAGCTAGGTGCCATCTGCTAACCAGCCAGCGTGGGTTTGAGGCCTTCCGTCCTCAGCACCCTCCAGGCTAGGCCTCTCTTCTCCTCTCACAGCCTCTCACAGCAATTTCCCCTCTGTCCTGCCTTTGCCAGGTTGAACAAGTTCCTGGCACACCAGCTGCCGCTGTCTGCAGCCATTCCTGTTCAAATTTACCTTTCTTGAACATGCAGGACCAGAACTGTGCTCAGAATTTCGCGATAGATTGTGTGGGTGTCTTGTATGGTGACATTAGTGCACACTTCAGATCTTGCAGTATTCTTGCCGCACTGGTGCCTCCCGGCCACCTTCGGGTGTACCAGGAGACCCAGAACTTTCTCTTCCTTCATCATTCCCCATAAATGAGCTCCGGCTGAAAGCAGAGATCCTTGCCAGTAGGACACTGAATTTTGTACTGTCACTTTTTGTTCTGTTTTTCGTACTGCAGTCCTCAAGGTCATTCGGTTGTTCCTCTTTTATATTGATGGAGCTTCCTAAATGTGATTCATCGTCACGCTTCTTTATTGCTCTTGCTTTCTGTGCCAAGGTAGGAGGAAAATAAGAACACAAGGCGATGTGGCTAAGCCCACAGACTCTGGACAGACCTTCATATTCGTGTTAAGCTCATCTTCTCGGAGCCATCTCTCTAAGAAATCACTGACATGTATTAACTTCCCAGGCCGTGTCTTGTGTGGTGTCTGCATTAATGGCAGCGTGCTTAGTGTAGTCCATGGATTGCTGTAGCTGTCAAAGGCTCTCCAGTGTCCGTCTGTCCTGGGAGCGATCCTGAGGGGAAGGCAGAGCTTGGAGGGAGCAGGGGACTGCAGTGTGTCAGGCTGCAGGCGGTGGTGCCAGGCCCAGGGAGGAGCGCTCTGATGCTTCCAAGCACCGAGCTTCAGGCTCTGACTTCCCGGGGCAGCAGGAGCCTGGGCAGCGTCCTGCTCTGCGGGGCTGGGCTGAGGGGCTCTGGGCACTGACGTGGCGGTGGCGAACCTGCAGCCTGCAGGCACAGGGAGCCACAGCCCCGCTCAGAGGACAAGCACATTGATGTTGCCTGACTCTCAGCAGTGGACAGCAAAGATGGCCAGTCCAGCCCTGGTAGTGCCGTGCCTCCCAGCCCAGGGGTGTGCAGACCCAGAGCAGCAGACCCTTGCTGCCATTCAGGAGTGCTCTCACCACCTCCTGTCTGCAGCATTTCTGCTGCGGGACCAGCCAGGCCCCAATCAGCCAGGGCTCATGGGCTGCTGCCCAGGCCTTGGAGTCCCAAGGCCTCGGAGCTGCTGCAGGCGTTCAGGCCGCAGCACCTGGCTGCTCTCCAGAAGCCATCTGTGCTCATTTCACCTGGCAGCAGTGGTGGGCTACCTCGCCCACCGAGGCCAACTCATTCTGTTGGGTGCACGTTAGCAAAGTGCAGCCTGGTCAAAGAGCAGTAGTAAAGGTAATTGGAGATAGGATGGAGCCATAGCCTCCCATCCAAGGCCTGGGGAGGGTTCAGGGTGCTTCGTTCCCCTCCACTGCCAGACCAGAGAGACCACACAGACCCCAGGGCCCCCTGGCCGGTCCTGGCCCCGACAGCCACCGGTGGTGGGTGCTTGTCCCCAGGCTTCCCAAGCTGAGGGGCTCGCTCAAGCAATATGCTCAAAGGCCTTGCCCTCCAGATTTTCTCCCTGTCTTTTTTTTTTTGTTGTTCTGTTTCTTTTCATATACCGAAAATACTTGTTTATGCCAGGCGAGGTGGTAAAGGCAAATAGGTGATGGCAGAAGGAAAGTGTTCCTGCAGCAGGGAGAGCTAGCGGGGAGCAGACAGGCCGGTGCCCAGGCACACTGTGTCCTCTTTGACAAGTGACACTTGCTGCCCCAGCAGTGTCAGCCTGCCCACAAACACGCAGACCAAGGCACAAAATGCCCAGGGAGGCAGACACGTGGCATAACACAAGCTAAGACTGTTCAGACACCCCTTTGTCCTGTTGCACAGCCCACACTAGGGAACTCGCCACCACTCCGGTGGCAGCCAGGCCCCGCTGTCACCATGCTTGGGGTGGCACGACGGCCCTCCCACCTACACACCGCTCCCTGGAGAGGTGGCAGGGGGGTCCTCTTGTCTCAGGAAGGGGCTCTGTCCCCCGGCAGATGGCTTGAGGTGTTATGCTCTGGGTCCATGGCAGGACCCAACTGCAAACTGGAGCTAGTGGTGTGAGGTAGGGGAGATGGTCCCTGGTGGGAGGGGACCGGCGTAGCTCCACAAGGCTCTGCCGCAGGCTCCTGACACACCAAGGCAGGCAGCAGTGCGGGGCTGCAGCTGCAGCCAGTCTCAGCACAACCGCAGGGGGCTGCAGGGCCAGGTTGCTCCCCAGGAGGTCTCCGTGGGCTTCAGGGCCATGGCAGCTAGGGCAGGTCTGGCCAGGAACCGGAGATACTTGCTGGAACCTCTTCTGCCTCCTCTGGAATAGACCTCGCAGGGCTTGCAGGAACTCTTGGCCAAAGCTCTCCGAGCCCGTGTCCCCGAGCGCTGCAGAGCCACCCCTGCTGCCTGAGGCTGGCCCAGCCCTGCAGCGGCCGCCCCGCGTGTTGTGTGTGTGCCGCTGTGTCTGGGGACCTGGCCTCACCCCGCCCTCTGCTCTCTCTCCTCTCTCTCTCGCTGTACCGTTCTTTCTGCAGACTTTTCAGTAGTTTAGGAGAACTCAGCACCATTTCCCAGCGGAGCTCCGGGACCACCTACACAGTTCGACCTGGCAGTCGCTACCCTGTAACCCGACGTACCCCCAGCCCCGTGAAGCCGGCTCTGGATCGGACAGAGCCCCTCAGCACCGTGCGGCCCTATGGTCTGACCCCTCCCACCATCCTCAAATCTTCCAGCCTCTCCATCCCACACGAGCCCAAGGAGGTGCGTTTTGTGGTGAGGAGCGTGAGCGCCCGGAGCCGCTCCCCGTCCCCGTCCCCCTCTCCAGGGCCGCCCCTGCACACCCTCCACCCGCCAAGGCCCTTCATGCAGAAACCCCTCCACCTGTGGAACAAGTACGACGTCGGGGACTGGCTGGAAAGCATCAACTTGGTGGAGCACCGAGACAAGTTTGAGGACCATGAAATAGAGGGCACACACCTGCCCGCCCTCACCAAGGAGGACTTTGTGGAGTTGGGGGTGACACGGGTCGGGCACCGTATGAACATTGAGCGGGCACTCAAGCAGCTGGTAGACAGCTGACCGTCCTAGGCAGCGCTGGCCTCTTCCAGAGCCACCACACGGGGAGGGGGGGGGCGTTTCTACTAGACTAATAAAACCCAGTTTGATTCTCTTTCTACTCTGAGCACTGCACTGAAGGGCGCGGAGCCGAGGGGCTCCCGCCCGCTCACACACAGCCCGCGTGCCACGCACACGCAGACCCCGCTCAGCCCCACCAGGCCCGCGACGCCTTCGGGAAAAGGAATGTTGCATGAAATACATCCTCTTTTCTGTTCCTCCCAGAGAGTCTGGCCTGTATATCGCTTGATGTGCTCTTCCCTGGGGCGTCGCTGGTGGCAGGAGGGGCCGAGGCGCCAGGTGCCGCCGCGCCGGGCTCCCCGCACGGGACCTGTGGCACGGCGACACCTGGCTGGGGGGGACTGTGCAGGGCCACCGTGCAGTCGAGGAACCAAACCTGTGCAGGGCAAGGGCTCCTGAGCAGCAGGCTCTGCATGGGTTTTCCTGCGAGCCCAGCGCTGCTCGCAGGTCCCTTGTGCGGCAGGCAGGGAGGTGGCAGGCCAGACACGAGCTGCCCGAGAGGGTGCGTGGGGGGCACGGCAAGGCAGGGCCCCGGCAGCGCGGGCTGCTGGGGGAGGCAGGCAGGGCGCTGCGGGGGCAGGAGCAGGATGGAGGCCCCGTGGGGCTGGGTGAGGAAGGGCGGGCAGCAGGGAGCAGGGCCCGTGGCAGGGCAGCCTCGCTGCGTGCCAGGAGAGCCGCGGTGACGGCCGCCCTGCTCCCACCCGCGCCCTGCTCCAGCCCTGCCGCGGCTCCTCCGGCAGACCCGGCGCAGGCAGGAGCGAGCCTTGCTGTGTGGGTGAGAAGGAGCGCCAAGCGTGAGAGAGCCCTGGCCTGTGGACTCTGCTCCCCTGCCTGGCTGCGCTTGGTTTGCCCTGGAGAGAGAGAGGGACCGAAACCGCATGGATAGAAGCATGTTTGGGGGGTGTTGGAGGGAGGCTGGTGGGGAATCCAGCAGAAAACGCTTTGCCAACGTTCAAAGGGGTGGGGGGTGGGGGGAGGTGTTTTATTTCCTCTTGGTTTGGGGTCTTGTTTCCAAGGGGGACACATTGATGGATAATATATAATCTCCGTGCATTTATATAGAGAGCAGCTGATGATCTACAAGAGACGATACTGAACTACAGGATTCCCACTCCGTCTTAGTCATCCTTATTTTGCATCTTTTTAATCAGCTATATATTTGAAAAGAGAGAACAAATATCTATATATCTATATCTATAGCTATAGCCACCTGATTTTGTTATAATTTTACTAAATCTATATATCTCTAGACTTGTTGAGATGCTGATGAGGTGGTGCCTGCACCCCTCCCCTGGGACGCCCATGACTCATGGGAGTTTTTAGTGACTGACTGAATGAATGTTAAAGTCTTTTTAAAAAAAGAAAAAAAAAAAAACCAACAGCTCCTTTCAGACACTCTGGATTTTAAAGATTTAGAAACACAAAACTTGGTTTTTGGGACACACCAAGTCTTCCATCCCCGCAGGCAGAGATGCATGGAGAGCTTCCACTACCCTGCAGCAACCCCGCGCCTCCGGCAGGCGCAGGGCTCCCGTGGCTTCAGGTCCTCCTCCCACCTCCAGCTCTGGGGGCGATCGCCCACCCTCGGACCCCGTGCCCGCAGCGCACCGCGGCCGGCCAAGGGCTGCGCAGGCTGTGCCGTGCCCCGGAGCGAGCGCCGCGCTGGGAACCCCAGCCGGAGGCAAGCGAGGGGCAGCACTGGCATTACACCCAGTGGCTGAGGAGGCTGGGGTGCCATGGGGCGGCCCCAGAGCCGGAGGAGGCAGCGTCCCCGTCCCCCAGCCCGGTCCCTGTCCCCCACCCCGTGCGCTCCCCTCCGCACTGCACCCTCGACAGCATCGCGCACCCAGGCTCAGGGGTGGCCAGGGGCTTGCCCCGGCCAGCTCGGGAGGGGATGGCTTGGTGACTGGTGTTCCCCAAAAGCTGAGTCCCCCATGAAGGCATTAACTCTTCTGGTGCTAGAGGGAAGGACAAAGAGGTTCCTTCTGACCCTCACACATCTCCGAACCTTCACAACCTTCAGCCAGTGGAAAGGCACAGGCCAAGGGTTGGGGCTGCGGCCCCCTCCTGCGTGTGAGCACCAGGCTGAGGCCCTCTTCGGGACAGATCCTGGCAGGCTGTGGTGCTGTCTCCTTTTCCCTGAGCTCTCTTGCTGGGCACGTGCCCAAAACGGCTCTATTTAGAGCTCTCCAGAAACCGCTGAATTCTGTGTATTCACAGCACTTCTTCCCTCCCCAGGCAACATCCCAGTGCTTGCAGCTGGGACAGTCGCATGGGGAAGGCAAGAGGGGGTTTCAACCTGTACCTTCTTATTCTGCAAGCAAAAATCCTGCTGTAGATACCCCAGGGTACTCCAGGCCTCCCATCCAATAACCTGGTGAGCCAAGAGGCATCCTAATTGTGATAGCAACCATTGTGTCTGCCCGAAGCCACCTCTTTGTTGACCAGGTTTGCCATCGTATTCATCAGTCTCCTCCCCGCCCCTCCTGTGTGTGCCAATGCTACCGCTGGATGCTGTGTGACCATGTCCTGCCCCGTGCCCATCGCTGCAGCCTACCCCATCACGCCTCTGCCTCTGTGCCCCCCTCCATGCCCTGCATTTGCCCCACTGCTCCCATTTGCCACCCGCCCCCCTCCATCCCCCGCCCTGGCACCCGTAAGCCCTCCACGATGGCCTCTCCCGAGGCCAGCAGCACTTCCAGACGCACTGAATTATTCCCTGCTCCCCACAGCCCACTCACTCTCCATCGCCCACATTTCCATCTCCTTAGCCTGCCCTGGCATTAATTATCACCTGATCACAAACATTTGCTGCCGTGCTCATGCAGAGATGGGGACAGTCCTGTACTAGGGATGTCCCAGGCTGCTGGCAGGGTGGCACTTGCTGGCTGTGCCAACAACCACTGCCACCGCCGCTGCCGCACCCCTGGCACGTAGCTCGCTGCCCGCAGCCCCACCGGCTCCGTGTGTCCCCTGCCTGCTCCCCTCATCGCCTCCCACACGCTCTGCAGTGCCTGGACCCTCGATGTCTGTAGACGTTGCCACAAGCCAAGCCCACCACGTGCCCTTGCAACCTGAATGTTGAGGCTGATGCTGCTTCTTCAGCCCCGTGCCTGGCGAAGTGGCACCGCCACGTCCTGGTGGCACCCGTGGGTGCACAGAGCCTCTGCGCCACTGCCGCGTGCCAGCTCCGCTGCTGCGGGGACCGGGCACGCCAGCAGGCTTGTCCCAGGCTCCGTGTCATGCAGGCTCTGCCACAAACTCTGTAAAACGTTAGAATTTCTAAAAAAAAATAATTAGTTTGGCTGTCTGATCCTCATGCTGCTTCTGTGAGGTTGCTCTGGAGCCGCTCACTGATGTAGAAACGCTCCTCTCCAGCCTGCACTGAGCCATGGGAAGCCCGTGCCCATTAGTCCCTAGGTTGGTGGTGTCCTTCTGCTGGCTTCTGCCTCTGCTCCCCCATGCTTGAGCGCTCCCTGGCCATGCCGTGGCTCAGCCTCCCGTGCTCTGCCCCATGGGTCCCCCCCAGGGCTGCTCCTGGCTGTGTGGGCAGACGTGGCCCCGCAGAGCACGCTGTGTTCCTGCACGCCGCAACTCGGCACCGCTCCAAACCTTTGCACCACTGACGGCTTGGCCCAGGCTGCCCGGCTTGGCTCTGCAGCCCCTGGCCCTGCGCCCCCCCCAGCCCAGCACCTCCAGCTCCTGCCCCGCTGCCCTGACCACACCGCAGCTCTCACCTCTTCCATTTCCATCTCACTGCCAGCTTCTTTCCGCCCCACCTGCAGGTAACGCAGACCCCAGCAGCCCTCGCCCCCGGCAGCCCCATGTCCCTCAGGCGTGGAGCTGCCCCCCTCCTGCAGCTGGAGCACGCAGAGCTGCTGCCTGCTGCTCCCTGGCACCCCCCTGGCACGGCCCCAAAAGCCTCTCCCCAGCCCTCGTGGCTGCGGGGTGGCCGGTGGGCACTGCGGGTTGAAGTGTAACCGTGTTGTCCTGAGTGCAGGCTGCCCTTCGGGCTCTGTCCCGTGGTCTGCGGGTCTCTGCCCCTTCTGCAGCTGCTTCTGGGGCGACGCACAGAGACCCTGCCTGCACCCCCCCCTCGCTGCGAGGGGCCTGAAGACTGCAGAGCGTAACTTTTCTGCAGGAAGTTCGGTCTGGGACCTGGAAAGCTGGACGCCTTCTTGCCATTTCCGAAGAGCCCTCCTCCACCCCTACTGCTGCCCCTTCCCCGTGGCGAGGGCTGGAGATGGTGGATGCACCGCTCTGCTGCTGGCGGAGCCGGCGGCCGCGCCGCCCCCACGTGCACCCCAGCTTCCAAGACACGAAGCAGCTGCAGCCGTACCTGTGTTGGCAAACACTGCGTGAACCCTCGGGGCCGCCAGCCCCAGGGCCACCACGGCTGGTCCCAGTCAGGCATAACACAAAAGAAGGCGACTTCCAACCACACTCGTGCCATCGCCCCTGTCCCTGCGGCTGCTTGGGTCTGCCACGAAGTCCTGCTCCCTCTCCCTGTCCACACAGCAGCGACAGCTTCATCCTCCCCATCACCCTCCCGTCCCCTCCATGGACACACGTTCATGCGGAGCTGGACGAGCGTTGGCCTGGGGCTTTGGAGACAGCACCGTCCCAGGCAGTGCCAGGGCACCCGTGGGGTGAGCCTGCTCCGTTTCGGGGCGGCACCCGGGGCGCTTGCCCTGCCCATGCTGCCCGAGACGCGAGCGGCCAGGGCCGGCTCCTCCCTGCCCCAGGCAGCTCGGTCTCACCGGTGCCGGTCACTGCCCCGCTCGGTGGCCGTGCTGGCCCCGAGCAGCTTCATCCCCCGCTTCAAGCACCAGCCAAGCCGAGGTCTCGATGCCCCGCACTTGCTGGAGGACGTCCCCGCCCCGGCCTGCCCGGGGGCTGCGTTCCCTGCGGCAGCGCCACCAGGAGCAGTCGGTTGCGTACCGGCCTGACGGCCAGCAGTGGTCTTGTCCCATGATCATTTCTAGTCCCACCTAGACAGAAACGAAACTTTCCAGCTAACGCAGCTGCTGCTACTTAA